TGGGCAGGGCCGGGGGCTCCAGCGGCTCCAGGTGGGGGAAGGCGGGTGGCACGGAGGCCGTGGGGGACCCCGGGGTCAGGCCAGACAGCCCATCAGTCAGCGAGTCCACGCCGACATCCAGCTCCGTGTAGTAGAAGTCCTCCTCGCCGTCGCTCTGCTCTGGCTCTGCCTGCCGCCTGCTGGGGGGCGGGGGGTGGGGTGCGAGCTGACGCAGAGGCCTGCCTGGCGCCCCCCGCCCCTCCCCCACCCCCGGCCCCGCCGCACCCCAGGTGCACCAGACGGATGTGTCTCTGCATCCCTGACGCCGAGCTCAGCACCTTCCCGCAGCGCTTCCACAGACACTGGAACAGCCCCTGCAGCGAGCTCTGGGTGACAGGGGGCGGTCAGCCTCGGCGCCCCCCACGTCCACCCCGCTCCAAGGGCTGCCCTGGCTCACCTTCCTCTTCCTCAGGGCAGGCTCCCCGAACAGGAAGTGGGCTGCCTCAGGGGGCAGCGGGGGCGACGGGGTAGATGGAGAGGACTGGTCACTGGTCAGGCCCCAGCCCCCATCCCCGCTGCTGCCGCTGCTGCCCGGTGGCCGCACCGGGGCCTCCCTCCAAGGCTCCAAGCTGGGCTCTGCGGACACACACACCGGCACCAGCATCAGGACTTTTGGGGGCCACGGCTGTGCTGCAGACGCTGTTGGCTACGAGTCCCTGAGTGCAAAACCTCCGCCTGTTCACCTGTCCACAGGTGAGCCTGGAGGGCAAAGAACCTCTTGGAGGAGACAGTGGCCGGGAGGAGCTGACCACGGCAGCCCGGGGACGAGGCTTTCCAGCACAGAGAAGGAAGACCAGAAGAGTACGGGGTGGGGAGCTGCCTGGCCAGCCAGGTGGAGACGGACAGGTCATGGAGGCCAGCAGGCCTGGGGCACTGCAGCTTTGGCCGCAGGGAGGGGCCATGGGGGTCCTGATGTCGCTTTAGGCCTCAGGAGATGGATACACTTAGAAGATGGTATTCCAGGTGAGTGGCTCTGCTTGCCCCACAGCAGCTTGTAGGGTCCTGGAGGGACAGTGGTCCTGAGCCCTGCCGGCACCCCCCACCCAAGCCAGGCCTCTAAGTCTCACCTGTGCTGAAGGCTACAGCCGGGGCCCCCAGCAGGAGGAGGCTGGTGGACAGGCTTGTAAGGGCGGCAGCAGCCATGACCTCGTCCAGCTGGGCTTTTCCTGGGGGGGCTCTGGAGGAGATGGGGAGGGTGGGGTGGAGGGGTGGGTAGGGCCCAAGAAGTACTCCAGGCCCGTCCCCGTCCCGGCACACGTGCAGGCCTGGGCACGTGTGTGCACCCAGCTCCCTCACTCCAGGAGCCGGGCAGGAGGCCCAGCTCCACCTCCAGCTCGGGTTGCCGAGCTCCAAATCCCCAGGAACCACCGGGAACAAGCCTGGGCTGGGGTCTTTCCAAACCCCGACTTCTCTGCAGCCTGGGCTTTGTTCCACCGTGGCTCCTTCAGACCCTGATGCTGGACAGGGGTCTGAGGCCCCGCCGGTGGGGCCAGGCCAAGCCAGCCCTCCCCCCAGTCACACATTAACCAGGGTTGTGCAACAGCAGCTGCGGGCCTAGCGCCAGACCTGAGAGGGCGGGAGCAGCCAGCAGCCAGCAGCAGCCAGCGGAGCCTGGGCTCCAAGCACAAGTGGGTCCCTGGGCCCCAGCGGGCAAGGCCAGGGCCCGCCCCCGCCTGCGCAGCCAGCCCGGGGTGTCAGGCACCTGGGAGGGTTTCTCTCTCTGCAGACAGGGCTGGCGAGACAGCCATCAGGGGCCCTGGGATGCCTGGACAGTCGATTCCACGCGGGCCTCACAGCCTCCTGGGCACAGAGGCTGACAGGCGCCCCCTCCCAGTTCTGCGCTCTGGCCCTCAGGATTTGGGGAGGAACAAGGAATGCTGATACATCGGTCATTTCTGCTTAACCCCTCCAGGGCTGGAGAGCCGAAAGGCAAGGACAGAAACCCAGTTCAGCATGCTGACCTGCCCTCCACCGAGGCCCCTCTCGCAGGGGTGGAGTCTGGAAGGCTCCAGCCCGCGCCCCATCCACCACCCCAGCATACACAGGCGCACGGGTGCACACGCCCCCTCGGCCTGGCACGCGAACCCCGGCTCACCTATGCCCTGGCACCGGGATGTGCGCCGACGGCGTCGGTGGCCCCGCCGCCCCCGCCCCCGGGGCCCCGAGGTCCGCGGCCCGCGGCTCCGGCTCCTGCGGCAGCGCGAACTCCACGGCAGGGCCCTGCGGACGCGGCCGGCTCAGCGTGGTTAGCGGCCGAGTCCCCACCCCCACCGCCACCCCGACCCGATGGTGCCCGCCCCCAA